CTGATTAATAATTAATTTTATCATCGATTGATTAAGTTACTCGTGATTGCACGACGCATGACGATTGATTAATTATGGTCATTGATTCACCGATTATTTTAGTCGTGGAAGATTTTAATGGATTAATCCCCGACTCTGAGACGCGTGTCCCCGAGTAATGTAGTCGCGCGAGCGGCGATAAAGGACACCCTCTCTCTACGATGGCGAAACCTAATTACTCGGCAAAAATATTCGCGATCGTTTATGCCGATTCGGCGCGCGAAGGTTACGTCTTTAACATCGCGTTTTCGAGCTGACCGTCGGGGAATAGCGATCATCATGCCGAGCTACACCGTCTCGCATGCTAAGCAAGGCAAGGCAAGACAATTTTGCATGTCGCTAATTTCGCACACGCGTCGTTTTATTCGTACACACGCCGGGAATAATTGTCCGGTCGGCCGCGGATAATCAACATAACAGCGCGCTTCCGCTCGTTCGGCACCAACGAACAACGTTCGCGCAACAACAACAACACCACATCACATCACACCACGACGACATGTCGTCGTCGCGGCGGAGATTTTTTGTCGATGTCCTACTCGGTCGCTCCTTCTGCTCTCACAATGACGTTAAGTACCAAAGTTAACGTTTACCTTCGAGCACTTCGCAGCCACTTTTGCGCCTACCTCGAGGCGTGTCTGCCGTGAAGCAAAAAGAAACGCGAGATTATATACCTTGCATGACTAGTCGTTCGGCAAACGACACTCGTTTTACGCGTGCATTCCATCGGACCTGCCCCCGCGGCCCCGAACAGGACCTGGGATACATATGGTAAAAGTGAGCGAGACGTGCAAACGTTCCGTGCGCGCGTTACAAATCTCTAAATATAAGTCGCGTGTCGCTTCGCAGGAGAAAATCGACGCGATAATCCGAATCGAAATTTTGATTCTACTTTCGATTTCTCGGTATTCTATTTAATGTTTACTTTGATATTCTGAAACTTGTATCAATCTGTTCTGATTCTGGTTAACCAACTAACTTTGCCGAGAGATGCCCTTTAGAACTTGCAAGTGACATTTTGTGCGGTTTCTGCCATTTAGAGACGCTGAGCAGGATTTCAGTCTTCCTGTGTACACTAAAAAAATACTTGGAAATTTATTTGTGGGGTATAAAACTTGTTTCTGAGAAACAAAATTTATTTCTGTGAAATAAACTGTTTCCATAAAAAAAACTTTATATCTCACAAATAAATTTTCTCAAGTATATTCTTTCTCTGTTTCTAATTCCAAGTATTTTTCTCAGTATATTAATTTCAAATATTTTTTTAGTATATAAATTTTCAAGTACTTTTTTTCTCAATATATTAAACATATATTCCAAATATTTTTTCTCAATATATGTTTAATATATTGAGAAAAAAATACTTGAGAATTTATATATCGAGAAAAAATATTTGCAATCAATATACTGAGGAAAATATTTGAGATTAATATACAGAGAAAATAATATTTGAACATTTATTTTTGTGAGATATACTATTATTTCATAGAGATAAACCTTAGAAATAAATTTTCAAATATTTTTTTCGGTGTACACTTATCCTTCGGAATATACAGATGTTGAAAACTTTTAATCCATCAAGAGTCGTTGTACTGCCATGCAAATCACCGCGATCTTCCCAGATCTTAAGCGTCTCTGATCGTGCCTAGCTGCCGTTCCAAAGCGTTTTTGATTTACTCATTGACCAGTCTCATTATCTGAGAATATTTAATGCCCACCCGCGAGAATTTTACGCTAAATTACACGTGCATGTTGCGCGATGCAGAAAAAGCGAGCGAAATCGTAAATCACCCCGGCAGCGCGGTTAATTTTCGGCCTTCATTATCCGGCAGAGAAGTTAAACGTGGGACGAGGTGGCCGACGAGGCATAAATTGAGATTTAAGAAAAAAGTATCGGACAAAGTGTCTCGGGAATTAAAATTTATGCGAGCTGTGGCTCGGAGATTGTCGGGATGTCCGATTTTTATTTCGCACACGCGATGATGTGTGCCTATCGCGAACGCCTGAAAAAATCCTACGCTCGCGCGCGTTCTTTCGTAATAAAATCTAGTCGAAATTTTAAAGCGGCATAGGCATAGCGTCCGGAGGAAGACGCGCGTTATAAAATCTTCGTTAGGCGTGAAAATTTATCCCGCTCATAAATCAGAGTCCAGAGCTGGCCGGGAATTCGCGTCGGGGGAGGTAAACACCCGTCGCGCGATAGCATTTTCGCGCTACCTACCGGTAACTACCGCGCGAGTATAATCGCGGGTGAAGCCGTAAACATTTAAAATGACGAGAATTATGGAACTCGCGCGTGTAAAATGATTAATGACCCGCAGGTGGCTGCTCACCGTCCCGTCGAGGTGTCTCGTTTGGCTCGCGCGGCACAAAAGCATGCAGATTGTTCTCTCTTGCGACAGTCTCGGCACCCGCAAAACGCATTTCATTCTTGCGACCTTAACATCGAATCGTCGGGACGCTAACACGCGGCCGCTCGTAAAGTTCGCGCGACACGAGAAATCGGAGAGGAGTAGAAACGTAACCGGGAAACGCATGAAATTCCTGGTTGGATGTTGCATATCCAAGAGAGGAGCAGTTGAACGGGGATATATAAAAAGTGAGATTTATTCGCGCTTATCAAGCGAGAATCGGACGTTTTCGAGCCAATGTGTGTCGCGTGTTTTTACGATACCCATACTCCCATACGCGACGAGGTGGATCTATCCTGCCGATTGCTTCGCGCGTGAAAGTTAAAAGTATCGACGGCACAAGTGAAACCGAATCTTTTACCATGAATAAACCATCGACTTCGCTCCGTTGCTGCGACTCCTGTGCTCGGTGGCGGGTCTCAAGTAAAAGTTGGGTCGTTACGCGCTCGCGACGTTATTGTAATTAGCTGGCGCGTATTAAAGCGCTAACTCTCGATATCGCGTGGATCTAACGGAGGAACAAATTGAGTCGCTTAATGCCGTTCACCGCGCGAAATGAAACGGAAAGGTATTTGCTGCGCGAAAACGGTGTCTACAAACCCGGAGCAGTCGAGTGTCCTTACACAGGGTGTCTCCGAAACATCGAACTGAATTTCATTGGTGGACTTTACGGTCCACTTGGAGGCGACTTCGCGCCGGCCGAGATCTCGCGCGATGCTACTTCCGTGTTCGGAGAAACTGTGTAATTATGCGTGACGAGCTATTGTCGAGCTATATTTTTTCCTCAGACGCGAGTAAGGTCGACGTCTCGCGTCTCAGGGGAACCGTGCGTTCTCACGAGCAACAATTACTACATAGTTAACGTGTCGGTCTATCGGCGTTGCAACTCCGTTGCAAATGTTCGAGAAACTTTTTATCTAGCGGCGTCATTTTGCACAGTTACTCTCGACGCGCGACGCATATATATGGGAGCGATATTGTTCGTCGTTTCCCAACCGGCGGTTAGGTCGTTAGGACTTGGTTTTTGTGTTACATAAAACTTGGACAGGTGTCAAGCTTATTAAGTATTCGCGGCGAACGGTATTACGATATGTATACATAGCCACACGTTGCCCGTGAACCTAACGCATTCGACGCCTTTTACCAGAATGCCTCGATTATTGAGACCACTGCCTGTTAAGGCAGCTCGTGGTGCACGTACTCGTGCATTGAACTTGTTTATCTTTCTTTCTTTATCTTTCTCTCGAGAAAGAGAGAAAGAGACAGCCGTTGATCGGACTGAAAGAAGTATTTCGAGTGTGTGTTAAGCTCTCCTGCTGTCATAAATCTTATATATAGTCTCGGAGACTGGAATAAATCAAATGTTGCCGCGCGCGAAAACAGTGATAGTTCTTCCAATTTCTACCAAGCGGAAACTATAGAGATAGACTAGTTTGACTCGTTTCAGAATTCAGAAGAGGGTGGGGCAGTCGATGCAGAGACGGTAATGATATCGCGGCATAAACAGGTCGCCGCGCTCGTGCAGAATTTAAGTGCGCATAATTTCTCCTCAGCTCATTAGCTCGTTTAACTCCTTCGATCGTATTTGCGGTATTCCGCACGTGATCTGATTATTATTACCGCTCTCTCGTGGTTCCTCTCGTGCCGGCGTTACGCGTTTCCCGCCAAACCTCGCAGAGACGCTCCCGGCACGGCGTGAAAGTGTCGCTGCGTATCTTTCGCGAGTTAAATCCCCGAGAGACGCGGAGATCGAAACGTGGATGAGCAACCGCGTCACCTGAATGGCGGAAGGAACGACGACGACGACGACGAAGTAGAAAGCCGCTGGCGGCGGCCCACAAAAAGCGGCAGACACGCGTGATTTCCGCGATGCTGCCCCTCTTGCCGTGCCCCCTCCTCGCGCCCCTCCCGACGTGTAACTCTCGAGACATCCGAGACCGTCAGCGAGGTAAGACGTTACTGCATCGCGGACTCGGGCTTTCGCATATGAATTGCCGTAATATAAGACGTAAACTTAAGTTAAAGAACCAATCGAGATATCGCTTTAGAACTCTTCCAGCTAGAAGAAGATCGAGATGACCGTACAAGTAGGATTCAGACTTAGTAGCTAGGACCTCAAGCAGGTGAATCCTACGCTAAGGCAAAAAAATGGCTGATCTAACTAAAATTATAGTCATTTTTTATCCAAATAATTTCTTTTTTGTAGCAACATGGTAGCATATATACAAGATTATCATCATCAACATTATAGAAGAATTTAATAAAGAAATAGTTTTCTTGACTATAATTTATAATAATTATTCCTTCATGTGATTATAGTTACAAAAATTTTTTCTCAGTGTAGTTATTTTTGCATGCGAACAGATATACCGATCGTTCTAAATTTTGTATACATAAAACTATAGCGAAATATCTATAAATGACTATAAACTGTAGCAAACTATAGCAAAATTCTGATTGGTCCTTCAGCTGAAGTTTACGTCTTATGCCTGCGGCAATTCGTGTGCAAAAGTTCGTCCTGAAAGCTTTCGCAGCCGCATGCGGACTTACGTCTCTAACGAAATCCTCGCGGTCATCGTTGGGAGTCTTCTCCTCCTCCACATTGATACGAATCGCCGACATGCTACGGAGCGTCGATCCCTCGCGAAACCACCCCGACAGAGCGCTCTCCTCCAGATTGCCGAAAGTCGACGTTCTCTCCTGCGGAGCCCTCATTCGGGAATCTTATTCGGGAGCCGCTCCTTGTGCTCGTTGATGAGATCACCACTCCTCGGCGCGCCGGCTGTTGATCTCTCTTTCTCTCTCTCTCTCTCTCTCTCTCTCTCTCTCTTTTTCTCTCTCTTTCCGTCGTATTAATCCACGGATCCCACAAGAAACCCCACTGTCTGTCACCTCGTAGAACGAATCAATCGATCGATTCCTCGCGCTGGTGCTCCGTGCGTGACTATCGTGCGTCTACGCGAGATCCTAGCTCCTCGCCCTCCAAGGTCCACCAAAGAGGGTGAGGCCGTAGCGACGTGCAAATGTATGTCCCAGGGAACGTGTCCTCAGAGCTCGTCGTCCTTTCTCTCCTTTGGGAACAGGACAAGCCTCGTCGAATTTCCCTCTGGACACGCGTACGCGCGGCTGAACGCGGCGCCCGTTAATGCTCGCGTGCAATCTCGCAAGACCCCTTCGCGAAAATCCGGCACGGAATCACCAGCGAGGTACGACCAGGTGCACCGATCGGTGTACGTACGCGCTCCGTGTGTGTACGTACGCGCGCCTGTGAGAGGAGTACCGCACGCCGTACCGTGATCGTCTCTCTCGCACGTGTGCGACTAGAGCCGCCGCCGCATCTGGCCTTTGGACTGGCTGGTACCAGTCCACCAGATCGGTTTTATACCTTCGTATCTCCCACTCTCGTGCGAGCGCGCGAGCGCGCGAGCGAGCGAGCGAACGAACGAACGCGGACGCGAGCATGAGCGCGAACGCGCTCGTTCCGCGGCGCGTCGATGATTCTGCACACCACGGCCGAGAGGATCGATCCTTTTTTTTTTCTTCTTCTCTTTGCTTCTCTTTTTCTTCCTCCCCGGACATACGTGGCGGTAAAGGCACGCACGAATACGTGGCTCGGCTCAGGCGTCACGCGTTCCCCGCTCGCGAGCGGGACTGCACCTCGGGACACCCTAAGCGCAAGGACAAACGAGAGGGTGAGCGAGGGACCGGTTCGTGGTCCTATGGTCGTGGTCATTTTTCTTCCTGTGTTTGTGTCTTGTTGTTCCTCCAGCCGTAAGGCGACTGTCTGTACTAATATTGCTTGTACCTGCATGTCGCTTTGATAGGATATTACTCCGGATACAAACAGACTTTCGAAGTATGTAACTCAAGTGGAGAAGAGATAAGTTTGACAGCGTTAACGCACACGGTTAATCTACCTTTCACATCAAACTAATCCTGAATCCTAATTATTATTATGAATATTAATTAATATTTATCTCTTCTACTACTCCATCATAATTATTTATATTATAAATTTATATTATAATTTATATATATATATATATATTAATTATAATATAATATAATTATTATATTACAATTAATTATTATATATATATATATATATATATATATATATGTATAATTTATATTATAAATTTCTTGGATCATTTTTCGCAACATTAAAAATGCGTCCGAAGATTCATCATGCAAATAATATGATGAAGTAGTGGGAGAAGGAAGATTAATTATTATTAATAATTGGAATTCATGGTCAGTTTAACATAAAAAATATTGACGTGTAAGTTAACACTGAAATATTATTGTCCTCTCACTATTTAAATATTCGTACCAATATCCGCGTTCAGCTCTTCCTTGCCTGGTTTCTTCTTTATTTGTTGTCTTAGAGCAAAGTAAAACGGTATTCTCTCTTAAAGTGAAATCAATAAAAATGTCTCCGATTGAATCCGTAAAAGGATCATTGCACTGCAATGATCAGTGAATATTTATTGATTTTCCATGGAAACTCCCTTTACTGCTTCATATTACATTTCACTAATTTGGTTTCACATTTTACTCCAAAATCAGCAATATACAAATTTGTTAGGTTGTGTCAAACTCAACTTTTAGCGTTTGTGGCAATGGAATCATCAGTTTCTATGCGATTTGCATGCAATAACCTTGTCTGTGTTTGCAAAGTGCATCAATAAGGACAATAATCGCTATTATTAACTGACCTTTTCAGGGAGATTTTATTGATTGCTACATTTATAATAGAGTCGCCATTTACAAGTGTAGCATTTCAATGAACCGCTAATTGCAAACATTTCAATGAAGAATACACTGATTGGACTTTAGAGAATTCTCTATTCTATAAGTTGATCTATTTAATCCACGTTGGGCTAACTGATCCATCGACTCCGTTTCGCCGTCTCGCGTTTGCGGATACAGGAAGCGCTTAAAGCATGGAGATCGGATCGTGTTATCTGCTCCCCGCGCCGCGCGCGAGATCGACTGCGTAACGAAGTCGAGGAAGTGTGGGTTTGCTCTTATCGCTCGTGGATTCCGTGCGGTCTTGATTCCGTGTGTATAACCGCGACATACCCGGGCGACTGGAACTTACTCTCGTCGAATACAAGAGAGAAAAGGTGTGCATGTGTCTGTCTTATCTCGACTTCCGACATTGCTCTTAATATCGTGGGTAGAGGCGCGATCGTTCGGCGTGACGCGCCTATTCAACACATATCGCGTGTTTCTCCTTATTACGCAAATTGCTTGTGTGTCAACGAATAATGACAACAAATGACATCCTACGAGTGACGACAATGACGCATTGTGCCGTGGCGATTTAATTTCGATCTTATTAGCGCGCGCAATTCACGTGCAACGTGAGATGTGAGAGATCCCGTGGTGGGGAGAGAAAAGTTTTCCTTCTTCAATTGCTCCCGACGCAACGGTCTTGCTTCAAGAACTCGGCAGATATGAAAAATCCTTGGTAGAAAAAAAACGATCCCGTTGATGGGGCGTTTAAATAGCCTGGTGTGTTGCGTGGTGAAAATTAAACATTCGCTCTTGCGTCTGTCACGGACGTATCTGTCCTTTATTTCAAGCCCGCAATGAAATATTTGCCTTCCTCCTCTTTTTATTTCCGCAACAAAGTATCCGCGCTCTTGTACTTCGTAACTCACGTCGTCCTTCGGCGTGTTTGTCGGTTGTAAACAGCAACGACCGGAAGGAGGCTCGTCAGCTTCTTGCGTGTTCTGGTTTGTCTTATTTTTAACGTCGACTCGCAGAATCCGCATCATCGTACCGTCTCGTCCGTATTTCGCGAGCGCGCTTATAATCATTTCCTATTGCCAACTACTGCATGACACCTAAACATAAGAGCGAAAGAAGTGCGTATTCCTTTTTGTCGTAAATTCGCGTCTCGTTGACACACGCGGTTTCGCGTAGGCGTTGGAAGGAAGGGAAGGACCTCGTCGGCAAGTCGCTCGTCGATTTAGTTCTCTTCCTCGCAGGCGCGCGATTGCGCGTGTCATGCTCGAGGGGGAGAGAGGGAGAAAGAAAGATAAAATTACACACGGTGCAAAGGCATCGCCTCGCCCGCATATTACTGCACTTAGTGGCGGTCGAAAACAATCGCGCGTATACCATTGCGCAACCCGTCAACGGCGCCGGGGCGTGCGAGAATCGCGCGGGTTTTCTTTTTCTCTTCTTTTCCTCCTCATCTGGACCGGATAGAGTGGAAAACGCGACCGTGACTGAAGCCGGCCGAGTGTTTGTCGATATTTCATAACGTCGGACGCGGATACACGTCGGTCGCGTGGGAGGCTGAGATTCCCGCATAAGTAGTTCCACGGCGATCGTGTATGTCGCGCGGCGTACTCTCTCCCGTTACGGCGGAGTTCATTTGAATCCGGGTCGCGACGGAGGTGACGAACGATCTTATCCGCCGAAAGTCCGACTTCTCGACAGATCTCGGCCCTGCCGACAGAGCGATATTCGCAGCCGCGATCCGTCGATCGGCCGCGAGCCTGTTACAAAGTCACGGGTGTAAATTACGCTACGCGGCTCGGGGATTACGCGTAACCGTCGGCTTCATTACGTGACTTCCGAATTATCGCGGGCCCACGAAAGCCGGTGTAATCACGACGAAATGCTGTTTGCGCAATGTTTGCCGGCTAAAGGAGGGTCGGGCCGTTTCGTAACCTTGAATTTCGATGACCAAAGGCAACGTCGGGCTGGCATCATCCGGCCGATGCGCGCGCGTGAAATCGTCGCCCTTCGATCGCTTCTGAGAAGCTGACTGACGTGTTCTATCTCGATCGGATCGATTGACTCTAGCGGGACCGATCCGTCGTTGTCGGTCTATCGTCACGGCCAAGAAGGTGCAATCGCGCGCGTTGTGATGCACGCCGCGCAAATTAGACCCGGCCGTCGTGGAAATTAGATATTCCGATCACAGGAGCCACATACGCATTAACGTATCGCCGCCGCTGCTCCACTTCGGCAAGGACTAACGCGCCCAGTTTCCTTCCCGAACCGCTTCCTTCCTACTGCTCCTTTCCCGTTTAGCTCGCGATCTACGAGGTCGCGATCTCGATCACCGGAGTCAAGTGCACCGCACCGCCGCGCCCCGCGAACGACCTCCGGTCGTTCTTCCCAAGGCGAAAAGTTACGTAGCCGATGGACGCGACCTGATCTCCTCCCCTCTCTCTCCTGCTCTCTCACGATAGGCATCACGGACGTCTCGCGAAATTCGTTGTTCAAACAGAGTGCGCGCGGCACGTGTTGCCGCACATATTGCGCCGTCGATCACTCGTTAGACCGCGCCCGACCTTCTTGCGTCGTCGAATTAATTATCAGAACTCTTGGCGCTTTCCACAATGAGGAGAAACTGCGGATACTCGTTCGAGGTTGGGCAAGAACGGATGCGAATCAACGGACTGTGGTCGTGAAATTAAGAACGGAATATCGTCGATAAGATATTTGTTAAGAGAGATATTAAATTGAGATATTAATTAGAATCCTTTCGAGTCCTTCAGTCCCGCGTTCACAGCGGCGATTTGCTCTTACTTGATACTTGGACGCGTTATTACACGGAGTGTCTGACACGAAGTGTACCGTGTACATGTAGATTAAGTGAAACCGAACGCGAGATTCCTCGACCATTTTGCAAACAGCCGCGTAAAATTTTGAGTTGTTAATTCAGGAAGATTGGCGAATGATCACAAGCGACACGGCAGATAAACTGGTAGTCGCATGCTTGTGGATTAGATGAAATTGGATAAAGAAGTCCTCTAAATATCATTTTACAAATAATCACGTAGATTTTTGAGTTGTCGATTAAGGAAGATTGGCGGACGATCGCGCGCGGTAATGCACCAATGCTCTTTAATTGGTAACTAGAAATCTGCGTGGTTACTTGCAACAATGGTGGAGGACTTTTTTGCTCACTCTGATCCAATCGCAATCGCGACTCATCTGTCTTGTCGCGTGTGATCACATTCACCAGTCTTTTCTAAACAATGACTCAAATTCCGCGTGATTTCTAAAATCGAGGTCGAGGGATTTCGTTTGACCTAACCTACATGTGCACGAGGTATGGGAAACACTTTGCATCCGACACTATACATACAAGTACTGGTTTCCAAACACGAATGTGTTTTTTACACGTTGGGAAAAAACGCACACACCTGAGAGATTCTATCTAATTAATCAACGGTTCCACACACTGAAAGACGACTGACCTTTCTTTCATGTGCAATTAGTCCGTACGCTTTCTTACCACCCATGTTTCTATAACTATACGCCAGAAGACAAAGTATCGTACCGCCGTGTGTCAACGGAGAAGGCACA